TACTGCTTATTTTTATGAGATTTCTTTAACTCAATTTGCCACATATAGATTCGGCTCCCAGCTATTTAATTTTTCACGTGGCACGCTATCAACAATTATTGTATCAGAGTTCCATGAAATCAGGAGGAGATGAGGAAATTTTAAATTACAACATTTCTCATGTAAGAAATAACTAATATTCCTTTATTCTGGAAGACGGTCCATACTTAGCACTCGTTCCCACCACTCTCAGTGAGGGTGGCAGGAGTAAATTATCCTACACAACACCATGAGAGAGAAGGAGTTGGATGAAAATCTAGTTTAAAAGAAGCCACTTGGACTTTTGCTATTGAGTTGAAAGGGACCAAGATGTATCCAGAGAGGCAGTGAAGTAGAAAGGATGAATGGGAATGGAAAAGGCCAGTCTGACAGGAACAAATTGTTTTGGAGAGATGTGTTAATTTTTGACAATCTTTCCATTAAAACAAAATAGATACAACCCAGAGCAAAGCACTTGAGTCACTGCGTAGCATTTCACATTGACCTTTTCAGAACTGAACGCTTCAGTTAAGTAAGACATCCACATCCTACCGTAAGGTACATTTTGTGGTGGTTAGATCAAAACTAAGCTTCTGCAGTGGCCAAAATAATCTTTCTCTATCACATTGCTGTTTTGTGATTAAATTCCCTTTCTTGTTTTACATTTAAGCATTTTCATTCTACCTTACCGAGCAATTTCTTTTTGGAAACTGTAGAATTTCTTTTGAAATAGTACTCCCCAAGGAAACCCATGGGATGCTGCAAGCCCAGCGGTGTGAGTGCAAGGGCTGGGCTCCTGGCAGGCAGTAATCGGTGTGGTACAGAGGGGAAAAACCCACCCCAAACCCCAGCTCCTTTCTGCTGTAAGGTGGTGGAGCTTGTGTGGTGCGGCTCAGAGCCGTGAGCTTTGAAAGGGCAGCAGAATCCTTGCAGGGCCGGCAGCGCTGGGCAGCAAAGCTGTGCAACCCGTCCCGCTTTATCAGCGCTTGAAAGGCAACTTCTGCAGCTCTGGGAGAACTTTGCTGATTAAGGCTGCCAGAGGGACCAGGGGAATTTCAGCTCGAGCTTGCAGCTGCATTTTTAAAACTTGGCTGTGTTCTTCTTATAGAGGCAAAGTTCAAAGAGGCAGAACATTATTCAATATGAGTAAAACACGGTCTTTTAAGATACACTTTCAAACAGTGGCACGTTAAATCAAAACAGCTTGTGGAGGGGGAGAATAAGGAAGAAAGCTGGTCCAGTAGAAAAGAACATCCTGCATCACTATTCCTGTTCTGCATTTTTGGAAGGGCCTGCATTTACACATTTAAATTGTCCAGCTGCATGACCTTAGGCTAGATAAGCTAGAAAAGCATTAAAATGTTTTCCGGAGAGTAACAGGAAAAGAAATGCAATTCAGTTTAAGAGCCAGCACACATTTCAGGATGTACAGGGGCCAGGCTGTGACACACGTGTTCACACTACAGAGAGCTTTACTGCACCAAGAATGAGCTTCTGATTTCAAGAACACTACGCTACGGTGCAAGACACTATTTCAATTAAGTTATTATAATCTTAACCAGCAACAACAACCTATTATAATTAATAATACTTGATGATTTCTTTTCTATTCATGTCAAGGGTTGCTTGTTGCTTCAAGGTGACTTGCGCGCCGCAGAGAGCACGTTCCTTGGAAACACAGGCAGTCTGAGTGCTCTGCAGTCTGGGAAGCCCCTTCACTTAAACCTCATCAGGCTGCCTCTAATGAGTCTCTTCACATTGCTGCCAATTCTCCCAGCTCTTGGACAATCCCCTTTGAAGGATATTTTTATTCTAGGCTAAAAGCAAACTTGCTTCTTCTGTAGGAGGTTAAGTGCCCAGCAGTACCACACCGTGCTGCAGGATGGAGTACACCTCCTTCCCGCGTTCCCATTTTCTTGGTTCATAATACCTCCTTTTGGCTTATTCACTGTCAAGTCAGTAGGTCACATCTTACTTGGCCACCCTCCGTCCCCTGCCATGGCCAGGCACAATCTGCAGCTGCCCTACAGGGTCACAGTTGAGGCACGGCGCTCTCTTCCAGCTCACCACATCCCAGCTGCTGAGAAGGGACCGCGCCGCACTTCGTGGTGCAGCATCCTCCGGAGACAGCCCTGCCTGCAGTGCCCGCGCACCGGCCACCTTCGCTTTGCTCCCTGTCCCGGGGTGTGCCGCGACAGCACCGCAGAGCCCTTTGCTCTTCACTTCGAATGGGATCTGCTCTATTGATCCTGCTAAAGCCTTCCAGGGGCTTTCCCTGCAGCTCAAGGTCACTGCGCCCTGCTCAGTCTGTGCTCAACAGCGTATTTTTGATGGTCTTGCTCTGCAAAATTTCCATGGGTAGAGCCTGAGCTCCATATGTCCCTTTTTTCTTTTTTTAAAAAAAAAACTGGGCAAAATTCCTACTGACTTTAAACAGTCATTGGCTGCTCACACTAGCTGCCCTGAAAGTCAGCATTTATTTGGGATACTTTAATACTCAAGCTACTTTTCTCATAAGAGGTGTGCAAAATTATTAAGAACGTTGCAGCTACTGTGGTAATCGAGTAATACTGCATTTTTAATCACAGCCATTATAAATGGGCATATGGAAGATGTGAGAAACAACAATTGTACAGGATATCCAGGGAAGCATTTTCAGTCCTCAGGCATAGTTCAATAGCAATGAACAGTGGAAAATGAATGCTGAACTCCTGTAACATATAATAAGATCTTTTAGTTTGCTTGAAGCAAATCTGTACTTTATACATGGATATACATGCGCATATATATATATATATATTTATAGATGCATACACATATATAACTTACTGTTGAACCAATGCTGAACACACTTTGCTGCTACCTCTAAGAACATGCAAAGTCTTTCATTTGCCGACCACTGCCACAAATAATGAGGAATTCTGGCTGCATACTTTTTTTCTTGCAACGGCTGACGTCGCACCTCCTTAGTTACTACAATATTCTGAAGCATCTCAAACTACAAAAAAAGTTTCCAAACCTCTTCAAGATCTAGACTTAGCTAAATACATTATCTAAACTTGTCTCTACACAAACAGGGGTACATAACTTGGAGGCAAAGGAAGAGCACGCAGACATCCACAGGAACTCGATGACCTATCACTTTCTCAAAGACACAACACCATGTTTATTGCCAAGTACATGGAACGAAGGCCTCAAATTCCCAGGAGGTTCTACAAAAGCAAAGAACAGAAATTCAATACTAATATAAACCCTTAAAAGAATACCAATTAAGCAGGAAAGGGAGGAAAAAACCTCCAAATACATCAAAGACAAATGTAATTGCTTTTGAATAAAACCAGATTGCTTTCTACCTACCTGCCTTAAAGGCAAGCACTCCAGCCTGGGATAGAGAATACCAGAAATCACTGGTAGAAGCAGAGGCACAAGTATTTTTTAGGCAAAGTTACCCTATTCTGATTTAATAGCTCAAAGGCTTATCTGGATTTCAGGCAAGAAGAGGATGCAACTCACTGCTGCTTTCACACAAATAAGCAGAGACAGTTAAAACATTTGGGAACACTTTGAATATCGATCTGTCCTAGAATAAGATGTAAGAAATTTGATTTGCTATGGAAATGTTGTATCAGTCTTCAAACCTTGATATGCCCCAGAGTGGCCTTCAAACAAAAGCCGGAAAATCCTCTGGGAAGATGTCATTAGAGCCATCAGCTCAGGGTCTTCTCGCGTCCCCTCTGCCAAGCAGGACTGGGATCAGCATTTTGAAGCCCGTATGTCACCACCCAAAGCACATCAGGAAGGGAGCTGTACCTATTCTTTCCTCAAAAATAGTGTCATGTTCTGTCCCTACTACGTGTCACCACAGCAGCCCATTCTTCACAATGCTGAAAGACAATCAATCACGACTGTGAATCACCTTGTTAAAAATAGTGGCCATCGGAGACTTCCCTATGACACCTCAGGCAGCGGAGAAGCCATGATAAATGTTTCCTGACACAAAACAAAGTCACAAGGTATTTAACCCCTCAGCTGGCAAGCAACCGAGGATAAAATTTGTTGTGGAAAAATCTCCCTCTGGTTTCAGGGCGCTTCCAATTGTACTTGTTTTCACAGTATAATTTATGTTCAAAGAATGAATACACTCATATTACTTATACTGAGCAATAAGCTAAAACAACCCTGCTACCATATTGGAAATGGCAGGGTTACACCGCACTTAAATAACAAATCAGCAATATAGTTGAAAAGAAAACATTAAAGAGCCTTCTAACTGCATTTTTCCAAGCATATAAACATGTTCATGTAAAAATCGTGACTTGTATTCAGTGTACAGCTTACACCCTCACTAATTTTTCACCTACAAATTTTCTGAAATTCTACTTTGGTTTTTTCCCCATTTCACCCTCTGTAAGAAAAGTCCATGGGGATGGAGGATGAGCCAGCAGTTTCAGTGGGAATATTCCCGCTTCAATAGGTTTGCATTAGGCCCCAAATAAGAAAGTATTTTCCGCTTTGGGAAACAGACCTATTTGGTGTCTGACTGGGTGCCAGATACGGAGTTTGCAAATGACTGGATTAAATATCAAGGAAGCAGATATTCAGCATTTCAGGCACAGGGTCAGAGAAAGGCCACTGCCAGGTTGGCTTTCAGTAGTCTGTAGTTAGACTAACAACCCTGTACACGTGTAACGAGTGTATGAGAATGGCAATACAGACTGTTACTCTACAAAACTGCTGCTTTTGCAAATTCCACATCTAGGAAGGGACCACCAGGATCCAGGTTCCCTCTAACCCAAGTCTGAACCTTCTGTGCATCCAAAGACAGAGATACCAGCTCCATCAGCCTTCCACCAGTCTTCAACAAAGAGCCAGCAACAGCAAACCTCTCCTACATTCCCTCTGTTTCAAGGGGAGGCAAAGCCACCATGCCAGATTCATGTTTGAAAGCCTGTGATAACTTTAAGACTTATTTTCAACTGTACCTGGTTTAGAGCCTTCATCAACAGATCCATTATAGACTTGGTTTATAAACTCCGGTCTGTTGTCATTCATATCAATCACATAGATGTAAAGGTCAATAGGATTCTCCACCTTGTTTCCGTTCATATCCACCGCATGAGCCCGGAGCTGGGAATAAGCACAATGAAAGCACAATATCAACAACTGGATTTGTTGCAGAATGAGAGGCCATGTTTTGTAAGAATTGACTTCACCTCGTAAATACCTTCTCAAAATTGAACTGAGTGGGTATCAAATTCCAGCAGAAAGCAGTGACGTAGCTTCCATCTAGACTCTGCTCACAGACAATTTTTCAAGGCTTAACATAATATTGAAATAATACTTTGCAACAGCAATTGTCAGTGGAAACACTTTAACTCTGATGTAGTGATGCTATCGCCTTCACTTCTAATAGAGCACTATATTTTAATTTTTAAGATGTGGTGAACCTTGTCTGACAATCTGAAAAGCAAATTTTGCTTAGTTCCAAACACAGTCAGGAAATGAGTCTTACTTGAGAGGTTTCTTACGGGAAACTGCAGCCTTTCAGACCCACAATAACAGGGATTAATAAGTGAAGAGATTTCAGAATGACATTAGTATTGTTTATTCTCTGTTTAATCATGGTCTCTAAGAACAGCAACAGCTACTGACCCCACTGCTCCCTGCACCAAAAGACATAACAAAGGTCCCTTTCCTTTAAATAATGGGAGCCCCTGTGGCACTAAGAATGAAATATTTTTCTCAGGCTTGACTAATATATCCAGTGATGGAGCATTACAACAACCAGGGCCACAGTGTTAAGTCCTCAGTTAAACTGGAACTGTGTCTTTATCTTATTAGCAATAACCATCGGTAATAATGCTCGAAAACAAGAACATCTGTTTTCTGAACAAAAGGGACAGATACAGCATGTCAAAACGAGTAATTAATAAAACAAAGCAATCAACAATAGTCTGGAACAATCAGTAATCAGGTGAAAAAAATGGATAGCTTTCTCATTAAAGGGAACAGATGGCTACCCTAAATGGCGCGTGCGCTGAACGGAGCTGCTGCTGTCAGCTTCAGGAAAAGACCCAGACAAGTGAGGAAAGGGCTGCATGGCCCCTGACGATGGCTGGGCAGCGGAGAGGCATCGCCTGGGTGTGAGCGCTGCAGATTTCGTTTGTCACCCCTCTTCTTTTCAGCACCTGTGAGCTGAACCTCCACGCCGCCATGAAAATCGGGGACGGCGCTCAGGACGGCGGTGTGACATCGCGCAAGGCTGGTGGGATGAAGAATGAAGGCTTCAGAGGGCATTAGCTTGGTGCAAGGGCTGGCTGGAAGCGTGGGGCTGAGGGACAGGGGACACACCAGCTCATGTCTTAGAAGGATCGAGGGCTCTGGTCCCTCCCAGCAGCTCCCTGGGCCATCCGGCTGCTGCTGGGAGTTGGAGCTCCTGTGCCAACGAGGTCTCTAGCTCCTCTGATGCATGACAAATAAATGTGCTAATTGCATTAGCACTGGTTGCTGTCTTTTGCTCTCGCTGTGCCTGTGATTGATGCAACTTTCTCCTTCATGTACGGTGTTCAGAAGTCCAGAGCTTAACAAAAGAAACTGCACGCTATTAGGATGGGCTGGATTAACATTTAATCAAGCAAAGAGAACAAACTGCCACGTGAAATGAGCTGGGAGAAAAACTTTTTTTTTTTTTTTTTAAAGTTAAGCAGCACTTTTCCTTTAAAGACTGGAGAAGTCTGGCATCGTTTTCAATACAGGATGCACCATTTGTGTTTCACGACTTGTAATGCTCTTAGTATCTGCATTTCTTGCCTGCATACAAACTGCTTTGACTCCCACCTGTTGAGCTATCCTTCATCACGTCAGATGTAGCAATTCAATAACTTTACCAGTCAGAGGTCAGACTGCCTTTGAAAAAAAGTAATTCGGAGCTAAAATTAAAGTTATTATCTTCAAACTGAGGCAGCACTGGGCTCTCTCTTGCTGCATTTCCAGCAGCGGAAATGGTTCCATTCAGAGATAAAGCAGAGAGCGAAGCTGGTATCTTCCCCTTCAGATCTGACTCTCTCCCTGCAAATTTTTAATTACATTTGATAGCTTTTGTTTGAAATCTCCAGGAGTAAGGGATTTCTCAGCAATGCACGTCTATCTGCTTGTTGCACTCACTAAGCACATGTACTCACAAATGTGTTACTGCTTGCACTCTAGGAAAAAAAGATTCAATAAGCAAGATGGCAGGAATCTCATCAAACCTGCAGTGACACGCACAAGTGACACCTCTGTCCTGAGCCCAGAATCAGCCCCTGGGCTGTGTTACGGGAGGGAGGATAGTGTCTGGGGACACAGACACCAGTTCCCTGACTAACGTGGGCAGCCAGGAGGACAGCACCCTCTCCCCAAGCCCAGTGCAGCAGACCCTGAGCCTTTACATCCTGGATTGGGCTGGTGGCTGAGTGTCCACAGCTGCTCTTCTTCTGCCCTCCAACACAGCTGTCACTGCTGCCCTTTTCTGCACACCCTCTTCCCTCTCCTACCCCTTTTTGCCTGACTTTAGTGTCAGGAGGATGGAGCCGGGCTCTTCTCAGTGATGGCCAAAGACAGGACAAGGGGCAACGGGTGCAAGCTGGAGCATAGGAGGTTCCACATCAACATAAGGAAAAACTTCTCCACCCTGAGGGTGGCAGAGCCCTGGAACAGGTTGCCCAGAGACGTTGTGGGGTCTCCTTCTCTGGAGACATTCAAAACCCGCCTGGACATGTTCCTGTGTGATCTATTCTAGGTGGTACTGCTCTGGCAGGGGGGTTGGACTAGATGATCTTTCGAGGTCTCCCTTCCAACCCCCAACATTCTGTGATTCTGTGACTTCAATGAGCTTTTCTTCTTTTTTTTCCTCTTGAACTTGCTTGCATGAATTTTCTTTATTTGTATTCTTTTAACAATCCCTTTGTACCCTTCCACAGCATGTTGCTCCTCTGTGGTCAGTGCCAACTGCAGCAGAGGGAGAAGAGAGGCTTGAGGCAGAGGGTTGAATGTCAGCCAAGCTCCATGGGAGCTCTTCCTCGTTAGAGACCATTCCTCGTTAGAGACCATTCCCGGCAGAGAGAGAAAAAGGAGGGACTCCAGTGGGGCAATCTGGCCACTGGGAAACTAGTCATGTCGCCAAGGCACATCAGATACTATATTTCCCTTCCTTAATTCATCTTCTCCATTGTTCTCCTGCCCTACTCTTTGTATTAATGAGGCATCCTCAAGCCGGACAACGCTTTGTTCTGGAGTCATTCTGCAGATGCTGAGACAGGGCGCCTTTGGGTGAGGCACAGTGTGAGTGAACGCGGTGCTCTGTGGTGCCTTCTGCTCCCACCTGTGACCCAAGCGGGTGTTTTGGTGGTAGAGTGACGGATGGGATGAAAAGCAGATTCACGTGAGTGCTTTGTGGCACTGGGCAAGGCACAAAAGGTGGTGATGGCTGTGCTCCATCAGACACACATGTCACTTAGTGTTGGAAAAACCACCAGTGAAAACACTGGTGAGCACAACCTCGCTCATGGGACACATGCCAGACACAGGGGTCATGCACCAGTATTCAAACGGAAGCTGGTGGCTAGCTGGAGACGCAGTTAAGAAACATTTATAAAGCTGGTTTGAAATATTTACACTGTCCCCAAGAGAGAGAACATGACAGAAGTAGAGAAGGAATAAATAAAATCAAATGAGATACCTTGCAGAGAAGTCTGAAAAATTAATACAGGTAGCCAGCTAATCTCTAGCTGGTGTGTTGCGCTACTGTACACCAGCCAAGGAGCTGGCTCGATATCCTTTAACAAATATTGTTTCAAAGTATGACAATCATTGCTATCATATTCAGCAGCAGCTACCAGGGGTCTCTGAGGTTTCTCTACTGATGGTTTCCAGTGTAAATGTAGCTGTTGGCATACAAATGATTTGGTATCATGATTATTGATTACACTGGAGGCTGGTGGTATCTGAATGTAGTTAGTCAAAGTCAACACAGTGAATTGTGTTAAATATGAATATTACTTATGCACTAATACTACTAATACAAATATACACTATCAATCAGTGACAGGCCCTTTAAACAATAAGCATACAATGTCATGCCTAATTTGTGTGCTCTTAATTGTGATTAAAAGTTCAAATTAGAGTATTGTGACACAAATGGCTGGCATTACTCACTAGAACTTGGTTCAAAATACTGGAATTAGCTCTTGTATCCCTTAATTTCTAGTAAACTTTTGTGTCTCCTTGCACTTCAAACAACTCCTTCTCAGACTATAACCCACCTGTTCTGCTGCAGCCACTTCTGAGACAGCATTTAATCAGCCTGATGCTGAAGGCGTACACGTGTGTCTGGGACTGAATTAGGACTTGCTTCAAAGTTTCCCCGTAACGCACATTACTTGAGTATCATAAGCAATGACTACTTACTGATACGTTTATGTTGATGTCTTTTGAAAACAGAGCTTGAGAAACGTCTTGGAAAACTAACCTGCCAATTTACCATCCCTTGTACTTGCCAGGCCTAACTGCAGCTTGATATGAAACCAGTGCCTGGGTCAGAAAAGACATTCAGAGTCACTGGTTCCGTCAGCAGTACAAATGGGACTTTTGAAATGCAGTTAAATAAGGCCAAAAGAACTCATGCATACTAAATATTACTACCTGCTGGAACTTATTTGGCATGCAATAAACATTAAGGGCTGACTACAAGGTGGGGTGCAACAACACACAGCTGCCGCAGTGAGGTGCAGCAAGATGGGGGGAACGAGGCCGTGCTTGTGCTGGGAGTGTGCCCCAAGGCTGCGTCCCCAACCGCAGGCACTGAAGACGCTGGAGCGGCTCCCCCAGCATCACTCACTGCAACATGTGCAGTTCTGCACCACCACATGGTGGTGGTTAAGTGGCTGCAAAGCCCTTCTCATTTCTCTCTGCTCATATTTGCAGCTGACTCTGCATCTGGGATGTCTGCAAGGTCCCTGGAGGGTTTATACTCGGGTCTGTAGTGCAGACGAGAAAACAGATGAGGCCAAAATACAGCTGAACTTGCGATCACTACCACTGCCAGTTGTGCTGGGAGGTTAACACAGGAATGCTAGCATAGACTGCACCTGGGCAGACATTGTGAGCCCCAGAGGCATATACATCTCTGAATACATCAAGCTCGGAATGATCCTCCCTAAAAGTTGAAGAACGATCTTGAAAGCAGGGGAAGCTCTGCTACAGAACTCCTGATCTAATTAGAAAAAAAATCTGTTTCACCTTAGGGAAAAAGGTAGGTTTCATCAGACAAATGGCTTGCTAAATGCAGTGAGAGTTAAAACACTAGTATTTTAAAAATGGTAGTCCTGAAGCAATACAGATAATTATGCATAAGAAAATATGTGTTGAAAATGTGGGAGTTAATGAAACAGAACTCTTCATATGTAGCCTCACAAACACTTGCAAATTATTATTATTTTTTTTTATAATTAGTTTTTAGATTACCTGGGAACGAGAGCAGCAAGGACAACACTTGACAATGACAGAGATACTGAAAAGACTTTGTTCTGTTTAGGGCTGCAGAAAACCTGAAGCTGTATAAATGCGCCCATCTGCAGCCAGAGCAGCAAGCCTCTATCAGACAAAACCCCATGACCTACTGGGTAAAAAAAAAAGCCCAGAGACCAGGGATGGTGCCTTGCAGCTCCATGGACATCCTTTACCCCAGCTGGAGAGTTAAGCTACTAATCTGAGCTAAAGAAAACTCTACTGCAGATGTCAAACCAATTTAAAGATGGCCAAGTTCAGATCCAAGCCTACACTTGAGTCGCTACTTTTCCAGTACTTGGTATATGCCTGGCTCCAAGTCTGTCTTTCCTTTCAATTAGAGACTCAGCTATATGAAGCGGCAAAAATCCATTGACTTCTCTGAAACTTGCAACTTCTGAGAATTTGGACTGTACCTTCTTTCGGGAAGCTGGCCTAATTTTCTTCCAGATTCTAGGACTGTCCATTCCTACAGTAAGTTTCTGCACTACTGTTTGGGTCATTGCTTAGTACCTGGTGTATTTATAAGTGCTTTGTAAAGGATTACTAAATGAACAATTACAAGTTAACAACGGTTCAATAAATCATCTGTCCATTGCTATTGAGGCTGAAGGATCTAAAGGTTGTTTACAGTCATGACTTAAAATGTTCTCCATCACCTTCTACTGTTCTGCTAACAAAGATTTTCTGTCACTCACTATTCCTGCCTATAAGGTCTCACAACATACTTAGCAGTTATTCACTCTCTATAAACTACAACTTCCCGTAACCTTCAGAGCGTGAATATGCTTATTTACATAAGGATGTCACTAGTTCAAGGTTTCTGTGAGGAACAGAAAAGGCTGGAAAACCTGCAGTGCCTACGAGGCAGGCAGCAAGTCACCTTTGCCAAGGCGAGAATTCAGTTTACTGAATTCGCTGTAACCAGGAGGTTAAGTTCATTATTAGCGGGCACACAATTTGTCATTACGGAGGACAAAATCTTTTTCATCTTATGTTTTTGACTGAGAGTGTCTGATAGTAGACATCACAGTGGCTCCATCAAAAGCGTTAACTGTGTATTGTATTATTGACTATGCTGTTATAATAACCTGGCACTGCTGAAACAATATCAACAATGCCGAGATGACACACGCTATATCTCAAATGTTCCTTTTTCAAAACAACCTCTCTTCATATTTTCCTAGGCACAACAAAGAAAATAATTGTTCTTGTTCACAGAGGATAAAATAATTTTCCTTCAGATCTTCTTTTACCCAGGGGAAATCTCTTTTTCCACCCAACTAAAGAGGTAATCTATTTTCTTTATCCTTCCACCCCAGTCCAGAAGCTGTGTCAACATGGTTAACTGGATACCTGATAAAGCTGACAGAATGTGCAACTCCGACGGCGCAGTTAGGAATATGGTGTCAGTGGAAGTGACCCGTACCATTTCACTGACATTACAGCGTCCCCGGGAACGGCTATTACGATGCTGATAGATGTGGCTAATGCTGATACAAAGCAATCCATGAAACAACCTTTCACAACCACTCCAGGAGAGAACTAAAGCGTAGATGCAGAAAGTGTCTGAAATTTTGTAGGGCTATCATGCAAGGTGCAACACATTTTTTTAGCAATTTGTGGGAGTGTATCTGCTGTGCAATTACGCTGTGCAGTATAGGGGCTAGGATTTATATCAAAACATAACGGCCAATTACCCTGTAAGTATTCTGCAGGTAGAGCATTTTGTGAAGTAGGATAGCATGAGGCACCACTTCTGAGTGTAATGAATCTTAATTAATTTCCTCATATTTAATATTAGCCTATCTGCATATTTAAAAACCTATCTGACACACCCCTATCATACTGCCTGAACATCTCCTAATGATTTAAAATGAAAAATGACTATACCAATTATTGCATGTTTAGCTGCAGTACTGATTCTTAAATTAGTAATTTCCCAAGACATGCTAATGTAGCAATTGGCTTCTCGTGGTTTTGGGGGGTTCTGTCGACACATAAACTTGCATGGATTTAATAAGCAGCGTGACATTGCACCACTTTAAACAAATTACTCTGACTTTGTGTCCAAAAAGGACATCAGTTGAACGCCGCTTTGCATTGGTGTGGCTGATTTAGCAAGGGCAGGTTACACTAAAAGAAAGCAGAAACAAAACCAGCCTCTCCATATACACAAACAATTGCTCTGGCAGACTGAGACGGAGCCTCGCACTGTTGGTTAAGCCCAAGCACCTCTGCACAGTCAGCTGCTGACACAGGTCTCTGCTGACACAGTTCAAACTGTGACCTGGGCTCTGATTTGGAACAAAGACCCCGGTCTGCTCAAAGCTGCATGCCCCATCTTGAACCCAGCAATTCTGGTGGAGTTTTGGTTTGAGCTTGCGAACGTAGATAAAACTCAAGATGCTTCATGCTTACGTGGTAGGAAGCTCTTTCCTCTCTGTCCATCGGGCGAGTCACGTACATCCTGCCAGAGACAGGGTCAATGCTGAAGACTTCCATCGGTGGCTGGTCGGCTCCCACTCCAGTGATGCTGTATCTGATATGGATCTCTTTGTCCTTATCGGAGCGAATCTAGATGAAATAACAAAGACAGCAATCGGTAAGTTTTGGACAAAAGCCATATGGATGTTTAAACAACTTTAAAGATTCGAGCCTGAAAGCTGCATAAATGTAATGCTGCTGTCAATTTTGACAAGGGAGCTGTACGCCAAAGGTTTGGGGAAAAGCCAGAAAAAGTGTATTCCACATATTCTCAGCTATTTTTCTCCTCTTTTATTCATGACGATTCTCTAGGAATCATTGAAATTCTGACTTTTTTTGCCTTAGATGTGGAAGAATCTATATGCACAAAAAATGCTATTTACATGTTATTGAAACCCTAGGCTCCTTAAAGTGTCCAAATTGCTCAGCCGTACCCAGAGTCTCCCAGCCATTAATCACTTCTGAAAACACTGTCTGGAAGCTCCCACATCACGTTCTCAGTCCCTGTGACTATGCACACAAATACTCCCATGAAATTCGAAGAACAGGGCTGCTTGCTCCCTCTTTCTCCAACCCTGCTGGCTCGACAAGGCAAGGCCAGAAATGCCCAGTGGGATGTTACCATTTCATGTGACTATTTGTTGAGGAAGAGCGTGTTTGGCATGTTGCTTTTGAAACCCCTTCCCTCCCATACCTTGAGAACACCGCAAACTGAATACAGCATGACAAATTACATGAACCTTGGATACAGAGCTGAGAAAATGAAAAAGGGAGGTTAATATGTTGTCCTAGCAACCCTGACTATCTCTTTAAACCCAAATTTAATTTTCTGATCAAATGCTGAAAGAAGTTCTTGCAACAGCATGACTATTCCTGAAAGAAAGTACAAGGTACAAATAAATTACCACCCCCTGCACCATCACAAACTGTCTTGGCAGTGTAAAGGCGATGTGCATAAATTTCTCCCTAACAGGTCTATGAATACAACAAAGTAGTGGGAAGATAATAGAAATCTCATAGCTGAGTGCACGTTAGCATCTCTACTATGGCAGCTGCATGCTCGGAGGAGCCCAAGAGGCACAGTGGGATGGAGGAGGCCTCTACGCCCCCCCAAAACAGCCTCAATTTGGGGAGCAAAGTTGGTTTCCCAAGGGAAGAGGCAGCTTTGCTTGCCAGGCAAAGGAATTGGGACGGAGCTGTGGGTTGCTCTCACACTCCTCCCGCATGTGACCTACCGCTATTTCTTCCTTTCCTGACGCAGGAGGCTGACAAGATGCTGAGCGTGTCAGTGCAGAATAACATCAGATCTCCTGGCTCTGAGAATCTCCTTTGATGCCTTGGTCCAGATCATTACCAAGTTTGTGCACTGTTTTCTTTGTACTGCCTCCACCAAATAGCCTGCTCCCGTTAACGGCTAATAATGTCAGTTATTGCTAGACACTGCCAGGATTGAT